CTCTCCTAGCGACCTGCCATACAGTCATTCCCGAAAGAAATGCGGCAGACCCCGACAAGATCAAGTACCAAGCCGCATCTCCTGACGAGGGTGCCTTGGTAGAGGGTGCCGCCGTGCTGGGCTATCGCTTCACCAACCGAAGGCCACGGTCCGTGTTGTTCACCACAAATGGTCAAGAGTACGAGTACGAATTGCTCGCGGTCTGCGAGTTCAATTCGACAAGAAAACGAATGTCGACCATTTTCCGCTGTCCGGATGGGAAGATTCGCATCTACACCAAAGGTGCGGACACTGTTATTCTCGAACGGTTGGGACCTGATAACCCTATTGTGGAAGCAACCCTGCAGCATCTCGAGGAGTATGCGTCCGAGGGTCTTCGGACACTGTGCCTCGCCATGCGTGAGATCCCAGAAGAAGAATATCAGCAGTGGATACAGATCTATGAGAAGGCTGCAACAACAGTCGGCGGCAATCGTGCCGATGAGCTTGACAAAGCCGCAGAGCTGATTGAGAAGGACTTCTATCTCCTTGGTGCTACGGCTATTGAGGATCGACTGCAGGACGGCGTCCCAGACACCATCCACACACTGCAGACGGCTGGAATCAAGATCTGGGTCTTGACCGGTGACCGACAAGAAACCGCAATCAACATCGGCATGTCGTGCAAGCTTATTTCAGAAGACATGACGCTACTGATTGTCAATGAGGATAATGCTCAAGCCACCCGGGATAACCTGACCAAGAAGCTACAGGCTGTTCAGAGCCAGGGCACATCTGGCGAGATCGAGGCTCTTGCTCTCATCATTGATGGTCGGTCATTGACATTTGCGCTGGAGAAGGACATGGAGAAACTGTTCTTGGATCTGGCAGTCCTGTGTAAAGCAGTCGTTTGCTGGTAAGTCACTGCTTTAACCTTTTACTCAATTCATGATGCTGATATCTTCATAGTCGTGTATCCCCCCTTCAGAAGGCTTTGGTCGTCAAGCTGGTCAAGCGGCATCTCAAGTCTTTACTTCTGGCCATCGGTGACGGCGCCAACGATGTTTCGATGATCCAGGCGGCCCATGTCGGCGTCGGTATCAGTGGTGTCGAAGGTCTTCAGGCCGCCCGGTCCGCGGACGTTTCTATTGCCCAATTCCGTTATCTCCGGAAGCTGCTTCTTGTCCACGGTGCATGGAGTTATCACCGTATCAGTCGAGTCATTTTATACTCATTTTACAAGAATATCGCCCTTTACATGACTCAATTCTGGGTAAGCAGCTCTGTGCAGACGCTTTGCTCTCTTGTACTGACGGAAATAGTACTCATTCCAAAATGCTTTCTCGGGTGAAGTTATTTACGAATCCTGGACGCTCTCCTTCTACAACGTTTTCTTCACTGTGCTCCCTCCATTTGTCATGGGAATCTGTGACCAGTTCATCTCTGCCCGTCTGCTCGATCGCTATCCGCAGCTATACCAGCTTGGACAGAAGGGACTGTTTTTCAAGAGACACAGCTTCTGGTCGTGGATCGCCAACGGGTTCTACCACTCGCTGCTGCTTTACATCGTCTCTCAGCTGATTTTCCTCTGGGATCTACCACAAGGAGACGGCAAGGTGGCGGGCCACTGGGTTTGGGGCTCCGCCTTGTATACAGCGGTCCTGGCCACTGTCCTGGGCAAGGCAGCATTGATCACCAACATCTGGACCAAGTATCACTTTATTGCCATTCCCGGATCCATGGTCATCTGGCTCGTTTTCCTTCCGGCATATGGTTATGCGGCACCGGCGATCGGCTTCTCCACCGAGTACTATGGCACGATCCCCCGGCTCTTCACCTCACCCATCTTCTACCTGATGGCCGTCGTCCTGCCCTGCATTTGCCTTCTCCGCGACTACGCCTGGAAATACGCCAAGCGAATGTACTACCCGCAACACTACCACCACGTGCAAGAAATCCAAAAGTACAACGTGCAGGACTACCGACCTCGCATGGAGCAGTTCCAGAAGGCGATACGCAAAGTCCGACAAGTACAGCGCATGCGGAAACAGCGCGGCTACGCGTTCAGTCAGGCCGACGAGGGCGGACAGATGAGAGTCGTCAATGCTTATGATACCACGAGAGGAAGAGGGAGATATGGCGAAATGACCAGTTCGAGGACACTGGTTTGATATGATTTGTTTCTTTCTGTTTCTATAGCTCCATCTCTTGTCCATTGCACCATACTGCCCATGTCTGTATTATTTACTTGGACTTTGCAGTCCTCGCTATGTTTGTTTCTCTTCTCCACGAGTTAATGTGAAAATCTTGTCATGATTGGAGGTTAGCGATGTGAACAGGTGCTTCAATACTACCGTTGAATATCTGTTTATTTGGATAATACGAATATGATGTCCAGTAACTGACATATATGTACAACGTACAATGTATCGCTTTCATACAACATAAAGTTTGATATAGTGGGAAGAGTGGGCAAGATTATCGCGTACATCTCTCCTGCGGAGGCCTCCAACCCACCCCCAACCCCTCGAGCACCAACCTCTCCCTCTCCTCCCAGGTCTCCCCGCCGCGCTCCAAATCAATCACCTGCCCGCCGCTCGTCCGCTCCCTCACCCCGCTCGAGTCGAACTTCCACCCGTGCGCCTTCTTGGCGTACCGCCGCAGATCCCGCTCGAAAGTCGTATCGCCCGACCAGCCCAGCACGGCACACCCGACTGTCCGCCACGGCGAGATGATGATGTCTACCCGGCGGTGGACGTTGGGGTTGCGTTTTCTGCGCTGTCTTTCTCCTTCTTCTGGGGTGTCTCCGCCACCCCCGGCGGGAGTCTCGGCATCATCGCCGTCCTCGAAATGCGGATCCTGCCAGACGACAAGCGCCTTATCCAGCGAGTCAAAGTGTCTGCCTGTGTCATCACCCCGGAAAGGCAGAGGCTGCTGTTCGCGGTTCG